TGGATAGCGAGTTGGAGTAACACAGACTACATGATTGCCGAAATCCAGGATTGACCAGGGACCTTCAGATCTTCCAGTCTGACGCTCTCCCAACTGAGCTATTTCGGCACAAAACAGAGGTATTTCGGCACAAAAAAAGTGAGTTGGAGTAGCACAGACTACATGAAAAGGATAAGCTACAATTTGTAGGGACCATCGAGAGGCTTTTGCATTTTCTGTCAGCATGGATAGGGGAAGCAGCTCAAAAGGCGTGGATTTCTGTCCTCGGCAATGCTAAATGTCAAGCTCACATATAGCAAGGACAATTGCCAAAACCCGGGACTGAACCAGGGACCTTCAGATCTTCAGTCTGACGCTCTCCCAACTGAGCTATTTCGGCACAAAACAGAGGTATTTCGGCACAAAAAAGTGAGTTGGAGTAGCACAGACTCCATGAAAAGGATAAGCTACAATTTGTAGGGACCATCGAGAGGCTTTTGCATTTTCTGTCAGCATTGATGGGGGAAGCAGCTCAAAAGGCGTGGATTTCTGTCCTCGGCAATGCTAAATGTCAAGCTCACATATAGCAAGGACAATTGCCAAAACCCGGGACTGAACCAGGGACCTTCAGATCTTCAGTCTGACGCTCTCCCAACTGAGCTATTTCGGCACAAAACAGAGGTATTTCGGCACAAAAAAGTGAGTTGGAGTAGCACAGACTACATGAAAAGGATAAGCTACAATTTGTAGGGACCATCGAGAGGCTTTTGCATTTTCTGTCAGCATTGATGGGGGAAGCAGCTCAAAAGGTATGGATTTCTGTCCTCGGCAATGCTAAATGTCAAGCTCACATATAGCAAGGACAATTGCCGAAACCCGGGATTGAACCAGGGACCTTCAGATCTTCAGTCTGACGCTCTCCCAACTGAGCTATTTCGGCACAAAACAAAGGTATTTCGGCAAAAAAAAGTGAGTTGGAGTAGCACAGACTACATGAAAAGGATAAGCTACAATTTGTAGGAACCATCGAGAGGCTTTTGCAACTTCCCTTAACATGGATAGCGAAAGCAGCTGAAAAGGTGTGGATTTCTGTCCTTGGCAATGCTAAATGTCAAGCTCACGTATAGCAAGGACAATTGCCGAAACCCGGGATTGAACAAGGGACCTTCAGATCTTCAGTCTGACGCTCTCCCAACTGAGCTATTTCGGCACAAAACAGAGGTATTTCGGCACAAAAAAGTGAGTTGGAGTTGCACAGACTACATGAAAAGGATAAGCTACAATTTGTAGGGACCATCGAGAGGCTTTTGCAACTTCCCTTAACATGGATAGCGAAAGCAGCTGAAAAGGCGTGGATTTCTGTCCTTGGCAATGCTAAATGTCAAGCTCACGTATAGCAAGGACAATTGCCGAAACCCGGGATTGAACCAGGGACCTTCAGATCTTCAGTCTGACGCTCTCCCAACTGAGCTATTTCGGCACAAAACAGAGGTATTTTCGGCACAAAAAAGTGAGTTGGAGTAGCACAGACTCCATGAAAAGGATAAGCTACAATTGTAGGGACCATCGAGAGGCTTTTGCATTTTCTGTCAGCATTGGTGGGGGAAGAAGCTCAAAAGGTATGGATTTCTGTCCTCGGCAATGCTAAATGTCAAGCTCACATATAGCAAGGACAATTGCCGAAACCCGGGATTGAACCAGGGACCTTCAGATCTTCAGTCTGACGCTCTCCCAACTGAGCTATTTCGGCACAAAACAGAGGTATTTCGACACAAAAAAGTGAGTTGGAGTAGCACAGACTACATGAAAAGGATAAGCTACAATTTGTAGGGACCATCGAGAGGCTTTTGCAACTTCCCTTAACATGGATAGCGAAAGCAGCTGAAAAGGCGTGGATTTCTGTCCTTGGCAATGCTAAATGTCAAGCTCACGTATAGCAAGTACAATTGCCGAAACCCGGGATTGAACCAGGGACCTTCAGATCTTCAGTCTGACGCTCTCCCAACTGAGCTATTTCGGCACAAAACAGAGGTATTTCGGCAAAAAAAAGTGAGTTGGAGTAGCACAGACTACATGAAAAGGATAAGCTACAATTTGTAGGGACCATCGAGAGGCTTTTGCATTTTCTGTCAGCATTGGTGGGGGAAGAAGCTCAAAAGGTATGGATTTCTGTCCTCGGCAATGCTAAATGTCAAGCTCACATATAGCAAGGACAATTGCCGAAACCCGGGATTGAACCAGGGACCTTCAGATCTTCAGTCTGACGCTCTCCCAACTGAGCTATTTCGGCACAAAACAGAGGTATTTCGACACAAAAAAGTGAGTTGGAGTAGCACAGACTACATGAAAAGGATAAGCTACAATTTGTAGGGACCATCGAGAGGCTTTTGCAACTTCCCTTAACATGGATAGCGAAAGCAGCTGAAAAGGCGTGGATTTCTGTCCTTGGCAATGCTAAATGTCAAGCTCACATATAGCAAGGACAATTGCCGAAACCCGGGATTGAACCAGGGACCTTCAGATCTTCAGTCTGACGCTCTCCCAACTGAGCTATTTCGGCACAAAACAGAGGTATTTCGGCACAAAAAAGTGAGTTGGAGTAGCACAGACTACATGAAAAGGATAAGCTACAATTTGTAGGGACCATCGAGAGGCTTTTGCAACTTCCCTTAACATGGATAGCGAAAGCAGCTGAAAAGGCGTGGATTTCTGTCCTCGGCAATGCTAAATGTAAAGCTCACATATAGCAAGGACAATTGCCGAAACCCGGGATTGAACCAGGGACCTTCAGATCTTCAGTCTGACGCTCTCCCAACTGAGCTATTTCGGCACAAAACAGAGGTATTTCGGCACAAAAAAGTGAGTTGGAGTAGCACAGACTACATGAACAGGATAAGCTACAATTTGTAGGGACCATCGAGAGGCTTTTGCAACTTCCCTTAACATGGAAAGCGAGTTGGAGTAGCACAGACTACATGATTGCCGAAACCCAGGATTGAACCGAGAACTTCAGATCTTCAGTCTGACGCTCTCCCAACTGAGCTATTTCGGCACAAAAAGTGAGTTGGAATAGCACAGACTACATGAAAAGGATAAGCTACAATTTGTAGGGACCATCTAGAGGCTCTTTGCATTATCTGTCATCTGTGATGGGGGTAGCAGCTCAAATGGCATGGATTTCTGTCCTCGGCAATGCTAAATGTCATGCTCACATATAGCAAGGACATTTGCCGAACCCCGGGATTGA